GTAAAAAGTAAGAAGATGATGGAAGAATCTACTTCAACTTCAAGATCGATGATCAAATTAAATGCTTCCAATTATGGAGTCTGGAAGCCTTGGAAGCCTCGGATGGATGATGTCCTATACTGTAGAGACCTGTTTGACCTTATTGCTCTAAAAGGGGTTAAACCGGAAGCAGAGAAGAATAAAGATTGTATAGAGATGAACCGGAAGACTGTCGAGTAGATCAGACAATGGATAGACCATAGTGTCTTCCACCATGTCGCCCAAGAGACAGATGCGTATGCCCTCTAGACAATGTTAGAAAGAATGTACCAGTCAAAGACCACCCGAAACAAAGCCTGGGTGATGAGAAGACTTGTAAATTTGAAGTTGAAGAATGATGTGTCTGTTGCCAAGCACACTAGTGAATTCAAGAATTTGGTGAATCAGCTTGCAACCGTTAAGATGCCCTTGGACGATGAAATGCAAGCCGTACTACTGCTCAGTTCTTTACCGGACAATTAGGAAACGTTGGTGGTTTCTTTCAGCAACTCTATACTAGAAGGAAAGTTGACCACGAGCATGGTCACGATGCCATGTACAATGAAGAGACAAGGAGGAAAGACATGGGAGGTAATCAGACCCATGCTCTTGTCACAGAAGGTAGAGGCAGAGACAGAGAGAAAGGTAGCAGAAAGAGCAGAGGAAGAAGTAAGAGCAGAGGCAGATGGAACAACAGGAGTAAATCTAGAGACAACAAAGGTTGAGGAAACTCTAGCTTTACTTGTTTTCATTGTGGCTAGGAGGGTCACATAAAGAGGAACTGCCTAAGCTGAAAAGATAAAGGTCAAAACAATAAGTCAAAGGGATATGAGAACACAACAGCGACTGATGAAATACTTCTTGCAGTTGGTGAAGAGGAGGATTGCCTTTATGTGGCTGACCATAGTTGTATAGAATGAGTGGTAGACACAGCTACATCCTACCACGCCACCTCCTACAGAGAACTCTTTAGCTTATACAATGTTGGAGATTTTGGCACTGTTCGAATGGAAAATTCTAGGTGTTCAAAGATTGTGGGTATTGGAGACGTTAGTATTCAGACTAATGTTGGACACAAGCTGGTTCTCAAAGATATAAGGTATGTTCCAGATTCGCGCCTCAGTCTTATCTTCAGAGGCGCCCTAGACCGACAGGGCTATACAAGTACATTTGGAAATGGTTGTTGGAAGATGACAGGAGGAGCTTTGACAATCACCAGAGGAGAGATGTCTTTAACACTGTACAAGACTCAAATGAAGATCTGTTTGGGAAGTCTTAATGCAGCAGAAGACAAGGAGTCATCAGATTTATGGCGCAGAAGGCTGGCTCACATGAGTGAGAAGGGATTGCATCTGTTGGCAAAGCAATCCAGGATACCCTTATCCAAAGTGAATGCCTTGAAGCCGTGTGATCATTTCTTTTATGGCAAGCAGCATTGAGTATCATTCAGTTCAACAAGCAAGAGGAAAACATAAGTGCTCAGTATCGTATACTCAGATGTTTGTGGCCCAATCGAAGTGGAGTCACTTGGTAACCATAAGTATTTTCTAACTTTCATTGATGCATCAATGAAGTTGTGGGTGTATTTCCTGAAGACGAAGGATGAGGTATTCCAGCACTTTCAGGAGTTCCATGGAATGGTGGAAAGAGAGACCACGTAGAAGTTAAAGTGTCTTCGCATAGACAATGGTGGCAAGTACACTTCCAATGCTTTTGAAGCATATTGTGCCAACAGAGGTATCCAACACGAGACAATAGTTCCCGGTACCCCACAACATAATGCAGTGGTAGAGAGGATGAACTGCACTATTGTTGAAAGAGTCAGATGCATGCTCAGAATGGCAAAGTTGCCAAAGTCATTCTAGGCTGAAGCTGCCCGTACAGCCTGTTATCTCATCAACAGGTCACCTTCCGTCCTGTCGAATTTAGCTATACCTGAGGAAGTCTGGTCCAGAAGAAAGGTATCATATTCTCACTTGAGAGTTTTTGATTGTAAGGCGTTCGCACATATCTCCAAGGAAAATAGACAAAAGCTTGATGACAAGTCCACTTCATGCATATTTGTTGGCTATTCAGATGTAGCATTTAGGTACAAGTTGTGGGACCTAATGAACATGAAGATGTTCAGGAGCAGAGATGCGCTCCAGGAAGACCAAACAATAGAAGATTTTGAGAAGTCTACAAAGTCTAAAGATGTCATCACTCCAAACTTGTTACCATCTCCCAAGCCATCACAAAATGCTAGATGTGATGATGTGCAACAAGAAGTGCCAAAGTTGTAGGATCTTATGCCAAAAATTGAGGATCATGAGGAAAGATATGAAGACTCAGACGAAAAGGGTGTTGAGCAGGGGAGCAACCCCCTCAACCAGAAGCAAATGGGCCTTAGTTATAGAGATCTAGAAGAGCTGCCATGTCATCAACCAAATATCCCGCTTCTCAGTATATTCTGATTACTGATGAGGGGGAGCCAAAAAAAAATTCGGAAGCAAAGAGTTATATAGAGAAAGACTGTTGGATGCAAGCCATGAAGGAGAAGATGAGTTATTTGCAAAATAACCAGACTTATGAGCTTGTTTCACTTCCAAGAGGCAGGAGAGCCTTGAAGAACAAATGGATGTATAAGTTGAAGAAAGATTGCAACGGTAAACTACTGCAGCATAAAGCTCGCATGGTGGTCAAAGGTTTTGGACAAAAGAAGGGAATGTACAAGAATAGTAGTAGATTAGTGTGTATATTTCTGAAGGTTTTTAGAAGGAAACTTCATCATCCTACTATTGTATGTCGATGATATGCTGATCATCGGACATGATGGTGCTATGATCAACAAATTGAAAAAGGACTTGTCGCAGCATTTTGACATGAAGAATTTAGGCCCAGCACAACAGATTTTGGGCATGAAGATTGTTCATGATAGGAAAGCCAAGAAGATATGGCTATCACATGAGAAATATGTGGAATGGGTGATTGAAAGGTTTAACATGAAAGATGCCAAGCCAGGCAGCACACTACTGGCCAACCATTTTAAGGTGTTCATGTCTCACAACCAGCTCTGAAAGGAAAGAAATAGAGGCAATCCCTTATTCTTCTGCGGTAAGAAGTTTGATGTATACAATGGTGTGTACCTGGCCAGATATAGCTCAAGCAGTTGGCATTGTGAGTAGATTCCTCACTAATACAGGAAAGGAGCATTGGGAGGTGGTCAAATGGATTTTTCAATACTTGAAGGGAACTTCAAAGATATGTCTATGTTTTGCAGGAGCTGAACCAATTTTGAAGGGATTTACAGATGCCGATATGACGGGTGATCTTGATGGTAGAAAATCTACATCAGGATTTTTGTTCACCTTGTTAGAGGGAGTTGTTTCATGGCAGTCCAAACTACAAATGTGTGTTGCTTTATCTACAAAAAAGAAAGAGTACATTGTTGCCGCAGATGCTGGAAAGGAAATGTTGTGGTTGAAGCGGTTTCTCCAAGAATTGGGTCTACAGTAGGAAGAATACAAGGAACATTGAGATAGTCCGAGTGCAATTGATCTGAGCAAGAATTCCATGTACATTCACGTGCAAAGCACATTGATGTCCGGTATCATTGGATACGAGAAGTGATAGAAAAGCAGTGGATAAAGCTGGTGAAGATTCACACAGATAAGAATCCTTCGGACATGATGACCAAGGTTGTCACCAGAGACAAACTGGAAGTTTGCAAAAATCAATTATCCATATGGGTGTGGAGGGGGAGAATTGTTAGCTCTAGCCCACATGGAGGAGTTAATGAAGGATGGCTCTGAGTCAAGAAGTATGAGGGAAGAGAGAAGACGACAGCTGATAGACCAAACTAAATAACTTTTCCCTTGACTTTGTTTCCCTCTATTTTTTGTATAAATTGAGATAGAAAGGAAGGGAACACAAAGTGTATATATAATCTATGAGTGAGAGAGTTCTATAGAAAGGAAGTGAGTGAGTTATGTAATCTCTCTCTGGGAAATTCTATAGTGAAATCTCTCTCCGTGGACGTAGGCAATTGCCGAACCACGTAAATATCTTGTGTCTCTTTTTATGTGTGTGATCGATTTCTTGATGTGCCTAATCCTAACAATATCCACTATTGTAGATATTATAGAACATCGAACAAATAATATCAGGCTAGGTCAACATGCATTTTAGAAACTCCATGATAATATGTGATAAAGTCCTAGTTTCATTCTCAAATTCTAAATGCTTTTTTCCTATACTACACTACCATAGACCATGATTAAGCTAAAAGTTATAGATTTATGTAAACGTATGGAAACAGTAAAAGGCTTTCTATGATCCAACAATTCTATTTGTGTAGGCTTTACTTTGTTTTCCACCAAAAATCCTTGCCATTCCAAAATCCAATTTCTTGGGATTCATTTTTGATCCAACAAAACGTTGCTAGATTTAAGGTCCCTATGAATAATTCTAAGTCGAGAATCCTCATCCAGATATAATATGCCTCAAGCAATTCCATTAATTATGAGAAAGCGTCACCTATAGTTAAATCTAACAATTGAACAAATAAAATTACTATATATATCTTTATATTGATCTTTGGTTTTGTATTGGTTTCATTAAAATCGGATTGATTACCAAATAGTAAGTGACTAGACTAGAAAGAGTCCAAACTAAAGAGGAAGACATCTAAGCTTTTGTTGGGCATGCACCCGCAGATGAGCAAGGACTCGTTTTGCTTCAAGCAACAACCCAAGAGTCTGACAAGATTCCTATGTTGTAGCCTTGAAATTAAAATGACTTCATTCTTGAACTCTCTTAGTCCTTGGCAAGAAGTTCTTGAGACCCTTTTAACTGCAATTTCTCTGCCATCAGGTAATGTAACCTGCAAACAAATTTCAGGTCATGTAGTCGCTTGAATAATGATATTTTGAACCTAACATTGCATTGTCAATCACTTGATCCACAATGTATACAATTAATAAGCTATATATGATTTATACTATTCAAAGATTCATCTTGAACTTTGTAAAGTTCTTGTAAATTGGACCAAATCCACCTTCTCCGAGCTTATTTTTTTCAGAAAAATGTTCTATTGCTGCAAGTATAATATCTAATTGAAATGAAGGAAAGTCTTGCAAATTCGCGTGCTTTTCTGCTTGCAAATTTTCACTGTTGTAGTCATTGCCAAATCTTCTTCCAGCCAAGTCAAGCAATTCAACTTTTGAGCTATTTCCATCATCTTCTACAGAAAAGAACAAAAAATTAACTAATAATGGGTTGCAATTGTAATAGAATTGTGGAAATCAATAGAAATGGTGTTTTTAGTTAAATAAATAATTGTAAGAAAAAAAAATTAATTAATGTATATGATGTGACATTTTAATTAATTTATTCATTTTATGACTTTTTAAGTTTATTAGCCAAAAAAATTGTTGCCAAACTAGCTTTTAACATTTAATTTATCAAAAAGTCTACAATCCCAGAAAAATAATCATAAAATAAACCAGAATTTTTTATCAATGGTTCACATGAAAGTTGTTTTTGCGAGCCCATATTTCAAGTGAATCATCACCATTGATTTCAAATTATTTTCTTGGACAGTTTAAGCAACCACCAACACAATTCAGTTTCTGCCAGAACTCTAATAACCTAACCAAATTAGTCTTGAATTAAGATTAAAAATAAAAAATTTATCATTAAAGATCAAAAGCTCACCACCACCAATGATATATACAACGGAAATTACACTGATACCCCCGATAAGTTTTCAAAATATCACTGTTACTCCTTTTATTCTCTGTACATATTACTTTACAAAAATATGTAACAATTTAGTCCAACCATCAGCCAATTGTCTATTCATTTGAAAAACATGACATCAACACAAATAATTCTTTAAATGTCAACTTTGCCCTTCTATACATCTACTATTTCCTCCCCCCTCCCCCCTTTTTTTTTTCTCCTCATCTTTTAACAAATCTAGCAACAGAATCATCACCCAAAAAAATCACCATAACCAAACCATGGAGATTTTTCCTCACATCACTCACAAATACACCTTCTCCAAACTGATTTAATCAATACTAATGTAATATCCACCCCACAGAGGATTCATTGTTGTTGGAACTCTAAATTCATCCAATCGTTACAATGTACACTTGTACATTGTAGAAAAAATAACACTTTTTGCAAGAAGAAGTTATACATTTTGTAAGATGAAAGTTTTGATTTTTGTGATGAAAATTATGAATTTTCAAATTATGATGTGTATCCTAAAAGTTATGTATAATTAAAGTTATACTTTTTGTAATAGAAGTTATACATTTTGTGAGAACAAAAAAAATTATATTTTTTGTGAAGAAATAAATTATAATTTTTTGTAACAAAAATTATACATTTTGTAAGAAAATTTGTACTTTTTGTATAAAGTGCATACCATAACAAAAGGTGCACATTGTAGACTTTTTCTTCAGTTGGGATCATTAAATTTTGTCTGGTGGATAGTGGGTTTCATATGGCAGTGATGGTTATTTCAAATTTTTTTTTTAAATCTAAAAATTAATTTGGTGAAAAGATATTCAAAAATTTTAAAACTGATTTTTTTTATGTAGTTTAATCTTTTTGGAGTACAAAAATAATTTTTAAAAATTCAAAAAAATATTTTTGATGCTTATTTTTGTCAACTTAGTTTCTAATTTTTTTGAAAAAAAATTCAAAAAAATAGAGAATCAAACCAAACATGTCCAATATTTTTTCATGAAAAAGATAAGTAGATAAGTAAATGCTAGTAATTAAATAAAAATGTAAAGAACGATGGGTCTTTATTTATTTAATTTTTTTTTTTCCCTAATAATAAAAGTGAAGATGAGTCTATATATAAAGATGATGATGGCAGGTGAGATGGTGGGAAGGGTATTACAGTGATAACGATATTATAGCAATTGCACAATTAAAGTAATGTTGTTCACTAATAATATAGATGGCAGTGTGATTTCAAAAAATAAAGAGACTAGCATTGTGATTTTGAAAGAATAGACGAGTGTTAGTGTACAAACAGGCTGATATTTATACCTAGGGATGCTCGCTGATTAGATTAGATTGGGGGACCTCTCATCCGCTATTTATTAGAACTCTCTTACTACCAAAACTTAGATAGAGATGTTTTAATAATTTTCCAAAAAATACTTACTATCTTTATTCAAAACTCACCATGGTTGCCACCGCCGCCTCCATCACTATTAGGCCTGTTGGGTGCAGGAGGTTGTGCTATAACTGGCGGGTCCAGCAAGAAGGTGTACGATTCATACCTTATGTTACAGCTTGGTGCCAAACCTCTCCCTCCCTTTCCGTCCAAGAGGCTACGAAGTCCAGAGACAACAAAATTTAGCGAAGTACGGCAATCCGTTGGTGACAAATCAGGCGTACACCGCACATATGAAATGGTGGGTCTGTCTCCATGGTAGAAAGAAAGACCTGTTCGAGTAGCGAATCGAACACTCATCATACCATATAATTGCCTCTTTGCAGGGTGAACAATTTCTTAAAATCACAACGCCAGCCGTGTCGATGCAATTGTTTGTCGCAGATACTGGGTTGAACATCACCTCAGCAGAGGAATAGGCCATAAACTTTGTCAGGATCATCCCCTTGGGTAACATTGGAGAAGATGGAGTCACCGCCATTATTGTAAAGAGATCGGATGAGGGGGCATTTGAGATTGTCTTCAAATTGGCTACCCGAAGTGTAAAAGAACGGGGTAAAATTGATTTTTGAGTGATAGTTTGAAGAAAAAATAAATTGATTTTTGAGTGACAATTTAAAATTCTTAATAATTTGGTACGTTGTGATTTTTTTTTTTTTTTTTGATACTATAATTTTTATTTAAAATTCATAACATTCACAACCAAAACAATTTTATTTTTTTTGCTTGACAATCATCCAATATCTCTGACATTCACAATGAAAACAATCATTCAAATTCAATAGTTAAAACTATAAACCTTTTCATAAATTCACAAATATTTTGTGAAGTTGCAACTGATTTGCAATTCAGAAGCAGAAGCAGAGCAAGAGCAGAGCACCCTCCAACCAGGTTCCATGGAGTCCAATTTCTTAGATACACCAAGCAAGTAGGAATTGTTGGGTTCCCTGTTAGGTGATTTGGAGAGAGAATATTAAATTTGAAGTGGGTTTTGATGTGGGTGGGTATTGCCAAAGTTCATTGTTTTGGGAATTTGAAGAAGGGTTTATCAACAGATCAAAAAAATGTTGAATCGGACAAGTGGGTATTGATAGATGGTTATTAATCCATAGTTCCCGGGGCTCAGTTTTGAGGGGGTTTGTGTTGGGGTTGAATCAAGAGTGAGAAAGTAAGGAACAAGTGTATGAAATGATAATTGGTAGTTGGGTTTTGGTGGCACATGTGGGGTCGGATTGGGTTTGGGTTGGACCGACACTAGATAATAAGAAATTTTGTATGTATCCAACTCCAATTCGATTCTAACATCGGGCTTCTACATTTGTCCAAGTCCGGCTCAAAAAATAATTATAAATATCAAATCCACCCATTAGGCAATATATTAAAAACAATTAAAACATTCTATAATTAAATTCAATCATACATTATATTTCTTAAATAAATATATTGACATAATTATAAATTAAAAAATTTTGTTGTATAAATTTAATAATTTCTTAAATAAATTCAATCACACATCATCACAAATGTGAATTTCAATAAAATTTACATCCAAACAAAGAAAATATATTTTTAATGTATTATAATTAATTAATTAATTTAATAGTAGACCGGGCCAGGTCAGGCTGGTGGAAAATATAAATCTCAAGTCCAATCCATTGATATATTGCGCTGAAAATATTGATTCAACCCAACTCTATCGGCTAAAATAACTTCCCAAGTCCTAGAAAAATGGCCATCCCTAGATAGAGGAGGCTAGTTTGAAGAAAGGGGAGCTTACTGGTAAGTCTCATACACAAAGTTTAAAATCCATTTAATTCAAAAACAAAACACTTGCTCTAATTAATCCTATATATTTTTAATTATTACCAAGAAATCATTTTTTTTTTTTATGAAAAATTTAAAGACACTACTGCATCCCACCACTGCCGGACTTCTGTTAGACGATCATCAGAGACTTGCCGAAATATTTAACATTACTGGGAAGTCACTGGAATATCACCAGAAATTTGTCAGAGTATTGCCGGAATGTTCTGAATGTTACCAGAAGTTGTCGGAATGTCGGACATTAAGAATACCGCTGGAGACTTACCGGAATGTCTAAAATATTGCCAAAAAAAAGAAGAAGAAGAAGAATAAATTAAGAAATTAAAGTGAAAAAATATAATAAAATTTGCTAAATATTGATAAACTGAAAGAAGAAGAAAAAACCTAAGAACAATAAACAACAACAATGAAAAAAATATATGTTATTTTAATTTTTGTAGGATTTAAGTAAATAGTTTTCAATATTAATCAAGCTCTGAAACTGTAAAATGTTACAGTTTCAAAGTATGATTCTATTAAGTATTTATCCTTATTAATCAAACATAAAAACATGTTATGAAACTGCAAAATTTTACAATTCTAAAAAAATTTATGAAACTGCAAAATTTTACAATTATAAAGAATGATTCATTTCAGCACCAAAGAAAACTAAAACTATAAAATTTTATGCTTTTTATCGCTTGTAATTAAAACTCGAAAACAACCTTGTTTACAACTTGAAAATTCTCTCCATTATAACAGGAAAATAGAAGTGTGTAGTACATAAAAAGTATTAAAACTAAGAGATCGAAAGAATGAAATAGATATAAAGAGATGCTTGTACTTCAACAACTATTTTTTTGGTTTAGATATAACCAGATTTAACATATATCTACTCAGATCTGATGTAGATCTGAGTAGATCTACATCAGATTTGAGTAAATCTACTTATTTTCTTCGTCGAAAACTCATCTCTTTCGGTGAGCACGAAACAAAGAGTTGGTGCTCAGTGGTTGCCCATAAACCCCAATCAATGGTGGTCGTCGATCACCAATGGTTGTAAATTAGAAAGAGAAAGAAAAGAAGGAAGGCGTGATCGTGGTCATTGTCATTGTCGCCAATATCAAAGAAAGAGAGATAAAGAGAAGAAGAGAGATGCAGGGAAAGTGAAGAAGATAAATGGGTATAGAACTTTTGGGTCTATCTAAAAGGTTTTGGGATTAAATAGAATACACACTTTTCAAAAAAGACTTGTGGGTAACTTGCCCACCCATTGATATATTGGGCTGAAAATATTGATTCAACCCAACTCTATGGGCTAAAATAACTTCCCAAGTCCTAGAAAAATGGCCATCCCTAGATAGAGGAGGCTGGTTTGAAGAAGGGGGAACTTACTGATAAGTCCCATACACAAAGTTTAAAATCCATTTAATTCAAAAACAAAACACTTGCACTAATTAATCCTATATATTTTTAATTATTACCAAAAAATCATTTTTTTTTTTTTTTTTTTTTTTTTTTTTTTTTTTTTTAATTTGTCCACACCCACAACTTGTATATATTCCATGCATTAGACGATCATCAGAGATTTGCCGAAATGTTTAACATTACTGGGAAGTCGCTGGAATATCACCAGAAATTTGTCAGAGTATTGTCGGAATGTTCTGAATGTTACCAGAAGTTGTCGGAATGTCGGACATTAAGAATACCGTTGGAGACTTACCGGAATGTCTAAAATATTGCCCAAAAAAAAAAAGAAGAAGAAGAATAAATTAAGAAATTAAAGTGAAAAAATATAATAAAATTTGCTAAATATTGATAAACTGAAAGAAGAAGAAAAAACCTAAGAACAATAAACAACAACAATGAAAAAAATATATGTTATTTTAATTTTTGTAGGATTTAAGTAAATAATTTTCAATATTAATCAAACTGCAAGCTCTGAAACTGTAAAATGTTACAGTTTCAAAGTATGACTCTATTAAGTATTTATCCTTATTAATCAAACATAAAAACATGTTATGAAACTGCAAAATTTTACAATTCTAAAGAAATTTATGAAACTGCAAAATTTTACAATTATAAAGAATGATTCATTTCAGCACCAAAGAAAACTGAAACTATAAAATTTTATGCTTTTCATCGCCTGTAATTAAAACTCGAAAACAACCTTGTTTACGACTTGAAAATTCTCTCCATTATAACAGGAAAATAGAAGTGTGTAGTACATAAAAAGTATTAAAACTAAGAGATCGAAAGAATGAAATGGATATAAAGAGATGCTTGTACTTCAACAACTATTTTTTTGGTTTAGATATAACCAGATCTAACATAGATCTATTGAGATCTACATCAGATCTGAGTAAATCTACTTATTTTCTTCGTCGAAAACTCATCTCTTTCGGTGAGCACGAAACAAAGAGTTGGTGCTCAGTGGTTGCCCATAAACCCCAATCAATGGTGGTCGACGATCACCAATGGCTGTAAATTAGAAAGAGAAAGAAAAGAAGGAAGGCGTGATCGTGGTCATTGTCATTGTCGCCAATATCAGAGAAAGAGAGATAAAAAGAAGAAGAGATATGCAGGGCAAGTGAAGAAGATAAATGGTTATAGGACTTTTGGGTCTATCTAAAAGGTTTTGGGATTAAATAGAATACACACTTTTCAAAAAAGACTTGTGGGTAACTTGCCCTTGAAGAAGTGGTGGGGAAGAGAGTGATGCAACACGGAGCACTTCCCCTTGGCCTCCCGATCTGTGAATCCACTGCCAACACAGTTCCTTCTCAAGGAAAAAGTGAAGGAAAGTGTGTCTATTGTCCACTTTTTCTCTCTAGGAAGCTTGTTTGGGAAGTTTTGAAGTGTAAAGTAAGTTATTTCGCCGCTGGAGGAGAAAATGAGAGAGGATGGCAAAGTGTACCTGTAACTCCATCAGAACAATTATGAAGAGGCACATTATTTTTTGCCACTTATTCACAATACCGGTTATGAATAGACCATAGAAAATGTTATATATAGCAACCTTTATTTTTCCATAGTCATATTCATGAGAATTTACTTGATTTTGTCTTGTTAAGCTTGCATTTGCAGACTTTGATTTGTTTTGTCTAAGTAAAGGTTCCTGTCTTGTTTTGTGCTGTTGTGTTTTGTCTAAGTATAAGATCCATGTTTTGTTCCTTGCTTGTGTGTTGAACCTAGGCCATCTATCTTTGCTACCCCACACCTAGGTCACACCGTTGAACATCTTGCACGTAGGTTGTTGAGCGTCAACACCTAGGATCATCTTGGAACCATCTTGGTTGACCTCCGCCTTCACTCTTGCATCTTAGCTGAGACCAGGAAGACCTCACTTATCCTTCACTCGTCCGAAGCCTATGTTTTGATCTAGGATTCGTGCCTTCTCAGAGTGCCGTGCCACCTTACTTGTTATACACACTTTGACCTACTCTTGTCTTTTCATTCTGGCACCTTTTCGAGGAGGTTGATTAGATGATGCCACGTGCCCTAGTAGTGGGTTTAAGACAGATTAGTAATTGAGAGCCCATATCTTTGCCATATCCTTTTCTAAGAGAGAGAGAGAAGCGTTAGGAAGAAGAAGAAGAAGAAGAAGAAGAAGAAGAAGAAGAAGAAGAAGAAGAAGAAGAAGAAGAAGAAGTTCTTAGAGTGAGAACTAGATTTTTT